AAAACCTTACAGAGCCTCCATAAGTAAAAGACTGATAACTTACTACAAAATGGGTAGAACACATGAAAAACTCTTCATAAAGGAGGGCATTTGGATGTCTAGCAAACACATGAAGAAATGTTCAAAATCACTGGCAGTCTTAGAGATGCAAATCAAAACAGCAATGAGATACCATCTCACTTCAGCAGCAGTAGCAAAATTTCAACATTTAAATGTTGGAGAGGTTATGGAGAGATTTGAACTCTAATGCACACTGCTGGTGGGATGGTAGAATGGTGTATCCACTTTGGTGGCAGTTTGGCATTTCCTCAAAAAGCTGAACAGAGAAATGCCTATAATGCAGCTACTCCACTGCGAAGAATATGCCCCAAGGAAATAAGAACTGAGACACAAATGGATGTATGTACACCTGTGTTCATAGCAGCATTATTCACAATGGCAAGAAAACAGAAACCACCCCAGTGCCCATCCAGCATATGAATGAAATGAGAAACTGGCAGGTTCACAAAATGGTTTACTATGCAGCACCAGGAAACAATGATTTTGTAAAATACTACACAACATGGAAGAGTCCAGAGAGCATTGTAATCTCTATATGCTGAGTGAAATAACTTAGCCTTTTTAGGACAAATAGTTCTTAAGACCATTATTGTGAAAATAGTCATAACTGAGCAAGATGTGTATAAATATTCAAACTGGTCTGCTACTAATCTTAGAAGAATGAATTATGAATGAAACAGAATGTATATGAATTGTTGTTGTTGTTCTTATGTACTGTTGAGTCTCCTACCACTTATATCTATCAACCTTGTACAATAGCTCTAAACCCTGCCCTATTGTGAGCACTCAGACGGACACCCCTAGTCCCATTGCCCCAGATATCATGTTTATCTATCTCATCCAAGGTCTTCCTCTCCTGCACTCTCTCTCCACCCTTCCAGGCATGATGTCCTTCTGCAAGGACTGGTCCCTCCTGGACATGTGTCCAACATATGTTTAGACAAAGCTTCAAAATCCTTGCCTCCAAGGAAAAACTTGATTTCACCTTATTCAAGACAGACCTGTTTGTCCTCCTGGTGATCCATGGTATGTTCAAGACTCTTCTCCAGCACTATAACTCAAAAATATCAATTCTTCAGTGATCCTATTCATTGTGCAGCTCATTGTAAGCCCGAATCAGGCACACCTTAGTCTCTAGACTGACATCATTGTTCCTTAGTACTTTGGTGAGGTCCCTGACAGCACACTTTCCAGTGCAGTTTGTCTTTTGATTCCATGACTGCTAGTTCCAAGAGTGTTGATTGTGGAGCCAGGGAAGCTGAAATTGTTAAAAACCTCAATCTCCATCCATCATGGTGCTGCTGGTTGGCTCAGTGGTGTGAGAATCTTTGTTTTCTTGATGAAAGTGAGGAGGACTTGAAGCACTTGCTGCAGAAGATCAAGGAATGCAATTTTCAGTATGGATTGTGTCTCAATATCAAGAAAACAAAGGTTCTTACCACTGGCCTGATAGGCAGTATCATGATGGATGAAGAGGAAATTGATACTGTCAGTAGCTGCTTCTTGCTTGGATCCACAATTAACATTGTTGGTACGGAGCAGTCAGGAAATAAGGAAATGCATTGAACCGGGAAAATCTGTGCAGTTAAAACCTTTCCAAATTTATTGAAGTATAATGATGTCAGTTTGAGGAATAAGGTACTTCTGATTCAGGCCACAGTCTTTATGATTACCAGCTATACATCCGAGACCTAGACAGTGAATAATGATGACAGAAAAAGAATTGATTCCTTTGAGCTGTGGTGTTGGAGAAGAGCACTGAACATCCCATGTTCAAGAGAACAAATAGCTATGTCTTGGAGAGGGTGCAGCCATAGTGCTCTTTGGAGGCAAGAATGAGGAGTCTTCACTTCACATACTTTAAACATGTTGCTAAAAGGTGCTATTCCTCAAAGAGGGACATGATGTAGGGAAGGGTGGAGCGTGAAGGAGAGGAACAACCTCAGCCAGGTAGGTTAACACTTTGAATGCTGCAGTGAGTTCTTGTGTGTCAGAAAGTGTGAGGATGGCACAGGACAGGACTGGGTTCAGATCTTTTGTTCATAGGGTCGCTATGAGTTGTATCTGACTCCACAGCACCTAAAAAGAACAACAACATGTATAACATTTATACTGGATATAGGAGCTTCTGGGAAGGGTATTCTAAAAAAATTATCTACAAATATGATAGGTGTTTAGATCAGTATATTAATTATCCACCCTTCACCCGCTTTTTTGTTTTCAGTCCTACTACTCATTTTCAAATTCTGACTAGCTGCTGCTATAGTAGCTTTTTCCAAAAATATGTTAATTTCTTTTTGATTTGTCACCAAAAACAATATTTTTGTTTTATTAAAATAGTTATTAATAGAATCTCTATGGGCTCTCTTTTACTTTTAATTAGTTTTTTTTTTTCTTCAGTCAGAAATTACATAGTAGATTAGATGCCATTTTCTTTCTTTTCTGGCTTTTCCATTTCCAATAATTTACCGTTTCTGCCTCATTCCTATCTCTTGTGCTTTAATTATCTGTGTGCATTCTTGTAGATGATTTTTCTTTTTTGAGCCAGTCTTTTATTTAGCAAAAAGGTGACCTTGAGATCAGTTCAGAGTTTAAAGAATGTCTCAAGGTGTTAAGTATTGGGAAGCCCTCTTTTCTCAGTCGGTTCACTAAGTTTGGTCTTTTAAATTGTGAGTTCTTTTTTGCGTTTTTCTTTCGTTCTATTAGGATTAATCTCTTCTGGTGTGAGAGTAGGTGAAGCTCTGGCTTGAGTTGACAGTCCTGTAGGCTAATTTCTTCTCTTGAGTCTTTACTGGGAGTAAAATTAATTACTTCCAAACACATTTTATAGATAAAAGTAACAAAAATCTGAATCATAACTAGTTGCCAAGTGATAGCGGATATAAATTCTCAGTATTTACTTGACTCTTAGAGCGCATTTCCCCTTATTATTCTAATATTTCAAAGAGCTGGTTCATTTTCCTACTCTTATTTCTTCCATATATGTAAAAGTTCATTTTAAAAACTAAGCATCCAGTGATTTTTGAGACATTATAAAAAAGAAATGTCATTTGCAAGCAAATGGTGAAGATTAGTTTTTATCACGTTAAAATTTAAGTAAAAACCTTAATCTTGGCAAGTTTAATAGAGGTGCTAATTTAATAATACTTTCATGTATTTAAAAATGAGCTAATTGAGTGGCATTGTATTTTAGTGGAAGAGCATGAAGAATTAACTGTAAATAAGTAAGAAATGAAAGAAGGTAATTTGATCTTAATAATTTTTTCTATTTGTATTTAAAACTCTTTCCTTTAAGTACTTAAGAAATAATTAAAAAGCACCCTGGTGGCATAAATGTGAAACAGGTACATCTGAGAAGCAGTTCCAAGTTGAGAATCACTCATTGTTGTAAGATAATATTGAGATATTTATTATTCATACCGACCCTGAGTAGAACTGTTCCATACAGTTGTGTTGATTATAATTTTTATGAGGAGCAGATTGTTGAATCTTTCTCCAGTGAATTGGCTAGGTAGATTTCAACTTCCAGCATTTTGCTTAGCAACTTAACTATTGAGCTGCCAAGGCCATCCCAGACCTTTATCATTGAGTCAATTCCAATTCATAGCAGTCCTGCGCAACAGAAGTAGACTGTCATCTCTTGTGTGGTTTCAAGCTACTGACCTTCCACTTAGCAGCCAAGGGCGTTAACTATACCATAGCTCATTATATCTACAAACAAAATGTGTATTTGTAGATTGAATCTTGTGCTGGAAGTTTTAAAAAAATAAAGGATGAAGAAATAACACAGTGGCCAAATTGGGAATATGAACTGTAGGTAAAAGCATTGTGTCAATTTTTAATTTCCTGAAATTGATCATTTTTCTATGATGAATTTGCGAAGTTCTGATAACATATTCCATAGCTAGTTGTGCCACTACCCCAAACACTTCACACATCCACAATTCAAATCTTCCAACAGCGTCAAAGGAGAAAGTTTAGCAGTCTTCTCCCATGAAGATTTACAGCCTCAGAATCACCACGGAAAGTTACTATTAGTGACTTTGATTAAAATAAAATATTAACATTGCAATTAGGAACTGTATATATTTAAGTCTGAAGGTGAAGCATGATATATGTAAATCTCTTTCAAATGATTCACAATAAACTCATGTACACATCAAATGTTAATATGGCAAATCTGGGTAAAGAAAAGACAAGAATTTTCTACAAGTTTTAAATTATTTCAGAGTAGTAATAATGATGATAAAGGAAACAAGCTTAATGCTTGCTCAGTCAAAACCTCTTTTTGGTAGCTAAAATTAATATGTAATCCACTTCCAATCACATACTGAGAACATGGCTTAGGTAGGTATTTGAGTGATAACTATGATTATTAAACCTGCTAAATAAACAAAATATACTAGATATTTAAATGAGTTTTTCTGAAAAAAACCAAAATTCAGTGCCTCATTGAGTTTCCAAGGCTGTAAATGTTAATAGAAAGCAATTATCCTCAACTTTGTCTTAAAGAGCAGCTAGTGGAAAAAAAAAAGAGCAGCTAGTGGATTTGAACAGTCAACCTTGTGATGAGTAGCCAAAACACAGTGACAGCAGAGCTCCTGCAGTTTACAAAGTTAAATATTCATCACATTATGACTGTTTTTTTATAGAAGTAATGTCTAATGTACTCTTCTGCAAATTTAGGAAAGCATAAAAAGTGTCTAAGAATGTGTCTGGTTTTTTTTTGGTGTTGTTTTTATTTTTCATGATCTAGTCCAACTTGCATGATCTTTTTTTATCCCATTTTAGTTTCTGTAATAAACATACCTAGTATTAATACTTTTCTTTAAATAATAGGTTAATATTCCATTGTTAAAAATAATAGCTCTTCTCTTCAGTTTTTACCTGTGTTACGCATGCTGTGTGTATAGTAAATTTTGACATTTGATTTTTAATAGGTGGTTTTGGAATGTATGCTTAAAAAGGACCTCATTTACAATAAAGTCACTCCTACATTTCATCACTGGAAGATTGACGACAAAAAGTTTGGCCTTACCTTTCAAAGCCCTGCTGATGCAAGAGCGTTTGATAGAGGCATTCGAAGAGCAATAGAGGATATTTCTCAAGGTAGCTTTTCTTGATTTGTCTACCAGTTTTGTAGAATACAGATGAGCCTCCAAAAATTTGATCACTCACAGGTACCTTAGAGGAAAGCTTGAGGGATTTGCTTCCAGAAAGAAAATCACCAATGAAAACCCTTAGGAATATAGTTTTACCCTTGACACATACAGGGTTGCTGGAACTGTAGTTAACCTTGGTTGGTTTTTTTTGTTTGTTCCTTCTAGTTTATTTACAAAACTCGAATGCAAGTTTGTACAAATTCTTTCAATTTCCCTCACCCCTCCACTCATCAAATTGTACAACCCAGTGATTAATCCCCCCATTCCCCTGCACATCCATATCCCTTTGCTTCCAGCCTCTCCCACCCCTCCTGGATCCTTATACTCATTCTACAGTAATGGTTTTATACAATATTTATCCTTGTGGGACTGAGTTGTTCACTCAGTATAATGCTTTCCAGTCCCTCCCAAGTTAAGTAATAAATTACAAAGTTATTGCTTCTGCGTGCTGCATAGTATTCCATTGTGTGAATGCACCATAATTGCTCAATCCATTCATTTGTGGTTGGACATTTGGGCTGTTTCCATGTTCTTGCAATGGTGAATAATGCTGCGATGAACATTGGTGTACAAATCTCTGTTTGTGCCTCAGTTATCAAATTTTTATTTTCAGCTTTTTGAGGACACACCAAACTGCCTTCCAGAATGGTTGCACCATTTTACAACCCCACCAACAGTGTAGAAGGGTTTCTTTCTTGCCACATCATCTCCAACATCCATTACTTGCTGCCCTGTTAAACTTTGCCACTGTTACTGAGTGAGGTAGTACCTCATTGTGGTTTTGATTTGCATGTCTCTTATTGCCAAATTTTATTGATTTGGATCATTTCTTCACATCTCACACAAAAATCCAACTCAAGGTGGATCAGAGATCTGGGAGTAAAGCCCAAAACCATAGCATTCATAAGAGACAAACTGGGATCAAGCTTAGAAGCACTAGTCCGTGGTATAAAGAGACTGCCAAATACAACAAGAAATGCACAGTCTAAGGATAAAATTGATGCATGACACCTTCTAAAGATTAAATCCTGTGCACATCAGAAACTATTTCCAACAGGGTGAAAAAAACCTACAGACTGGTAACAAACATTTAGTAATACCATCTCAGAAAAGAGTCTTATAACAAAAGTTTACAGATACTCCTGAGCCTCCACAAGAAAAAGACTGATAACCCAGTTACAAAATGGGCAAAAGATTCAGAAAGAATTTTCACAGAGGAATCTATTCAAATGGCAAACCTTGTTTTTTTAACTGAGGCGGCTCATAAACACCAGAAGGATTCGGTGCATAGCAGTTTTAAGAACAATTAGGGAGAAAACTTAGGCAAGGTAGTAAAGATTGCCTTTTCTGGAGAACATCTCATAATCTAGGATGTTTATTAAAGAAGAGGAAAGCAGTCACTTTATTCTCTAATTTTCTGTCACAGGGACAAAGTATCCACATTGCTAGTCAGCACAGTGCTATAATGACATAGTACTAAAGTATAAAATGAAAATTTTGGCTTACTCCTCATTTACCTGTTTAATTTCTCCAGGGTGCCCAGCATCAAAAAATGAAACTGAAGGACTAGATGATGAATTACAAGTAAGTACTTGAACTTGTAAAATAATTTCTGAACATAAATAGTGTAGAAGAAATATTACTCTTACTAAGTAAATAACTCATAAATCACTTTGTAAAACTTCTAAGGCAACCTTGTTCCTCACTGGAAATAATAATGGACAAAAGTATCTGTCTAAAAATATTTACAGAAAGAAATTATAAATTGTTGGTAAGCATGTGAACACACTTGTTTTATCTCACTAATAATTAGCTGGTAGCATAAATTAAAGCAGGCAACAGTTTTCCATTGCCAACGTTTAAGGAAAATTGTATACTCTACCACTTCATACTACGTCTGTCTGTTAGAAGGACAAACTGGTAGAGGAAGTGTAGATGGTACACTTTATAGAAAACAGTTTGGCATGTATATGGTCAAGTGTATTGTATATCAGCTGTAAAAATTAAAGCATTATTATCTCATGATCCAGTGATTGAATTTTAATAATGTATACTAAAGGAATTAAGATGTACAAAATTTACATACACAGACACTCTCTCTCTCTCTATATATATATATGTATATTTATTTACACATGATTATAAAATATTATTTGATAATAAAATTAAAGCAGGTAGTAATAGAATGATTGAATAAATCTACTTTTTGTCATGTGATTACTAAAGATTGTGTAATTTGAATTTGCATACAGTATTAAAGCAGTAAAAGTAGGCATTTTATTCTTACTGCTCTTCCAAAATGCTACAGATGAGCATTTAACATTATATATATATATATATATCACCATCCTTTGAATGTGCACTATATTGAGTTAATGGTTTCTTAAAGAGAATGTGATAGATACAGTGTTTGGTTTTCAAGGGTAGATCATTAAAGACATTGAGCTTTTATTAGGCTCTCTTTCTTGCCTCCCTTCTTTCTTGGGAGTGCCTGATTAAGGCCATGATCTCAATCTCACCTGCTATGCATTCAGAGAGGATAGTGAATGAGGATGACAGAAGAAAAATTTATTCCTGTAAGTTGTGGTGCCAAAAAAGAAGACTTAATGGTAATGGCCTGCCAAAAGAACAGACTGATAAGTCTTGGAAAAGGTGCGACCAGAGTACTTCTTGCATGCAAGGATGACAAAGCTTTGTCTTTCATACTTTTAACGTATAGCTAAGAGAGGGCATTCATTGTGCTTGAAAAGATAGAGAGGCAGAAAAGGAGATAAACCCCCAACAAGATGAATTGATACTCTGATTTCAGCAGTGGACTCTAGTGTCTCAGAGATGATGACGGTGACACAGTATAGGGCTGGTTTCAGGTTAGCTGTTCTTAAAATTGCTATGAGTTGTACTCAGTGGCACTTAATAACAACAGTCCTAATTTATTTACTAGGAATAAAGTGCATACTAATCTATTTAATAAGCTTCATAGTGAGTTAAAGTAATAGTTATCTTTTGAAAAGACAACTAAAATGGTTTTAAGAAACTCATTTTAAAACTTTTCTTACAAGTAATTTGTTATATTAGACCTTAAACATCTTGATTAAACAAGAGTAGTCTTGTTTTAAATATTCATCAGTTCGTTCAATAAATATTTGAGAAATTACTCTGTGCTAATATGACTGTGCCGTTATGTATAATAACCATTTGACTATTTGTTAGTAGATAACTTTCTCTTTTGAGACTATAAATCCCATAGGAAGAGATTGCCCATTTTTCGCCTACAGAGCAGCTGGTGGGTTTGAATCATGTGCCTTTGAGTTGGCAGTGCAGAGTTGGCACCTGAGCTCCCTGACCAATAATAAAGCATAGATGTTCTATTAATTTCTTTCTTTCTCCAACTATTTTTTAATGAGCCAATTAAGAGTTATTTGATATGTAATACTAGCTCTTGCTGGCTTATACATGTTCTAAGATAATTTTTTAAATTGTCTACCAGTTAGAACATTTCCAGTTCTCATTCTTCAGATATTCTAAATTGATACAAACCCCACAAAATTTACCTCACAGCAGGCTTGAGGTTTTAAGAGGAAGTGAGCTTAGATTTCATACCTTTAGGAAAAGAAAATAGAGAGCTGGTTAATCTAAGAAAATAGAGAGTTTGTTAATCTAAAAAAAATTACCATGTTTTCTTTGGACCATTAAAAAGTAATTCATACTCCTTACCCTCCAAAATTATTACAGTTTCTGAGCCAAGACTCTAATTTGCATTTATTGTCTAAAGTGATTTTGCTTTCAGCACTTAGGATATGAATTACTCAGATACTGATTTGCAAAAGTGGTAACTTTTTAGGAAGACTCTGTATCTGAAAACTTACTAGATTTATAGCTAAAATATTTTATAAAAATATTTTATGATACTAAGAACTGTCACTGTCTTAAATTAGGTTCCCAAACCGGTTTCATTTTAGGCTGAGTTCTGTTATTTAATAAGAAGGGGGGGGGGAGCTGTAACCTCTATACATAGTATTTTATTTACTTTTAAAAGACTTTTACTATGTCTTCAAGAAGAATATTTGGACATTTAGAAAAGTATAGATTTTCAGTTGTTGTTGTTGTTATGTGCTGTCAAGTCGCTTGCGACTCACAGCAACCCTATGTACAAGAGCCGTAAACCCTGCTCTATCCTGTGCCAACCTCACCATCTCCGACACACTCACTCTCATCGACCCATCCCATCGAGGGTATTCCTCTCCTGTGCCATCCCTCCAATCTGCCAAACATGATGGCCCCCCTCTCGAAGGACCAGTAGTTACTCCTTTGCAACATGTCCAGAGTATGTCAGACGAAGCTTCAGAATCCTTGCCTCCAAGAAGCAGTCCTCCTTCACCCTCTCTAGGACAAACCTGTTTGTTCTCCTGTCTGTAATATATTCACCTCTCCTCCAGCACCACAGCTCAAAGGCATCAGTTCTCTTTCTATCATCCCTAGTCACTGTCCAGCTCTCGAATGCATAGCACATAATTGTGAAGACTATAGTCTGGATCAGACACACCTTAGTCTCCAGCGTGATGTTGTTACTCTTCAGTATTCAGGAAAGTCCCTGAGAGCTGCCTTTCCCGGTGCAGTTTGTCTCTTGATTTCCCAGCTGCTGGTACCAAGACTGTTGACTGTGGAGCCAAGGAAACTCAAACTGTTAATGATCTCAATCTCTTCACCATCCGTACTGCTGCCGCCAGTTGGTTCACTGTGAGAATCTTTGTTTTCTTGATGTTGAGCTTCAATCTGTATTGAAGGCTGCAGTCTTTGACCTTCTGTAGCAAGTGCTTCAGGTCCTCCTCAGTTTCAGCAAGCAGGGTTGTGTCATCTGCATAACGCAGATTGTTGATGATTCTTCCACCAATCCTGTTGCTGCCACATTCCTCTTCGTACAGCCCAGTGTCCCAGATGATCTGTTCTGCATACACATTGAAAAGGTATGGAGACAGAATACATCCCTGGCAGACCCTCTTCTTGATTTTGAACTATGTAGTATCTCCTTGCTCTGTTCTGACCACTGCCTCTTGGTCCAAATATATGTTTCGCATAAACACAATCAGATGTTCTGGGATTCCCATTCTTCTGAGAGTCAACCACAGTTTGTTGTGATCCACACAGTCAAAAGCCTTTGCATAGTCAGTGAAGCACAGATAGACATTCCTCTGGTACTCTCTGCTTTCAGCCAAGTTCTGTTTAACATTAGCTGTAATATCCGTAGTACCACAACCTCTTCTAAATCAAGCCTGCACATCTGGCAGTTCTCTGTTGATATATTGCTCCAATCGCTTTTGGATAATTTTCAGCAAAATCTTGTTTGCAGGTGATATTAATGATATTGTTCGATAATTTCCACACTCTGTTGGGTCACCTTTCTTTAGAATGGGAACAAATATCGATCATTTCCAGTCAGTTGGGTATCTGGCTGACCTCCAGATTTCCAGGCACAACTTAGTGAGCACATCCAGGGCAGCGTCTGATGTTGAAATATATCAGTTGGTACGCTG